CATGATAGTGATAGTAGGGATAGTAAGGATAACTGTGCAAATTTAAATACATGGGCTGATAATGCCTTTCATCACATAAGATCACAAGGGGTTGCAAAGAGAGTGATCAAAGGGAAATAAAATAGGCTTCCTAAAACAAGATCCCTTATGAGTTTAAGACCATGGCAATCCACTGTTTCCATCTGTGCTAGGATCACAAAGGTTAAAAATGGCACCCAAAATACTCCCTGCCCCATTCAAAAATACAAATCCCAAAAGGTATGCTGGGGAAACAAAGACAAATGAGCTTCCCAGAAGACAGTCTAAAAATAAACAAATCCACTGTTAATGAATATGAAAAGGCCCTAAGTCAGACATGGCTAATGGATTGCAAGTCCCATCAACCATAGTTAGCATAGCTAGTGGTGAAAAATGTTGGAAGTTGCAATTGAAAGGAAAAATAGAAACAATTAAATAAAAAAGGGTGTTGCATCCAATATACAGTACCCCCTCCCAATTTGCGGGGATCCATTCTTGACTGTCCACAAAAATGGCAACTCACAAATATTCGAGCCCTACTGAAAATAATGGCATGTGCACCCGTGGTGCACACCCCATTTTGTCCCTCTCCATTTGCCACCCGCGAACGGGTGAGGGATGCAGACTTCAAGTCCGTGAAAACGGAGGGGTGACTGCACAGACTTTTACGGAGTCTACTAGACATTCATTTCAAGGGACTACCTTTACCTTTTTACTACAACAATAGAGAGAGGAAGGAAGAAACACTGTTCAATTGCAACATCAAACTGTAGCTGATGCAGCAAAAACAAACTTCTCCTCTCATATACCGTATTTTCTGGCGTATAAGACGACCCGGCGTATAAGACGACCCCCCATTTTCCAGCCAAAATATAGAGTTTTAGCACCTCTATCCTCCTTACCCTTATACCCGGCGTATAAGATGACCCCCCCCACACACACTTTAACAACGGATTTTGCAGGTTAAAAAGTAGTCTTATACGCAGGAAAATAAGGTACTCATTTTCAGTTACTTTCTCCTTTCCTGCAAGCACTGACATTGTATCAAAACCCAGAGAACTATGGCTTGTTTTTATCCTCTTAAGAAGAATAAAAGACCACAAGCTTTGCTATTTTCATTTGCAAGACAAGCAAAAACTCATAGCCTGACAGTTTGGATGCAGCTGCAAGCTATAGTTTATGCTAAAAATTGTAGCATACAATGGGAAAAGAGAGAAGGAAAGTGGACTATGTGAGCACAGGATTAGTTTCCAAAGCAACAAATCAGTTATGCATGATCTAGCTTGTTCTCTCAAAAAACAAACAAACCCAAACACCTCACATACATACACCTTCTGTAGCTTTTTTTCCATAAAAAGAGTTCTCTTTGTATTTACCAGATTTCTCAAAACCTTACCTGGAAGATTCCCCCTCGACAGGGTGTCTGTATCTAAATTATATGTATCCTGGAGCCGTAAGAGAGCTTTAGCAGCACCTGTTTGATCTTCGTCATTAGGGAAATATTGGCGTTGAATAGTCATGTTGGAAATAAACCCTAATGATAAAATATACATATATATATATATTTATATTTCTCCGTTCCTCTGCACAAATTTCAATCCTATTCCACTACTACTAGTCTGACAGTTACTATCTTCTTGGGCCCTTCTTCCTTATTTTTGTTTGTGGCCTTATTTTCTGTCTCTGCCTTGGAAATCACAGCAAAGCTTGTTGGGAAATCACAGTTTTCATTGTTTATTGCTTTGGATGCTAACTAGGATTTTAGTTTAATAAAGTAAAATGGGTGACTGTATCCAACAGTTTACATATCCAGGGCTAGCTGTGTTGAACATACAGGTAAATATAATAATATTCAAAATCCACAAATAGCAATAGCTTTATGGGACTAATCAAAATACACAAAATGCATCATACAAACTTTTGAAACGACACTGGCTTCTTCATCAGGCAAAGGTGTTAAAAATCATACAGGAAAAAAAGGAGAAAATGATGATGATATAGAGTCACAAGCCTACATTTTGTGAAGATGTTGACAAAATGTAGGCCTGTGACTCTAACATCATTTTTTCCCTTCTCTTGTAAGGTTTTCAATACCTTTGCCTGATGAAAAAGCCAGTGGAATTTCCAAAGGTCACATTAAGTATCTTTGTGCATTTTTGTTTGCCTCAATAAAGATATTTCTTTATTGAAAATGCCTTTACTGAGGAGCCCTGGTGGAGCAGTGGTTAAATGCCTGCAACCTCGCACTCATAAACCACAAGGTTGTGAGTTCAATCCCATTCAGGGGCTCAGGGTTGACTCAGCCTGGCATCCTTCTGAGGTCGCTAAAATGAGTGCCCACCTTGATGGGGCAATTACCTTACAGTTGTAAACCGCTTAGAGACTGCTTAGTGTGGTATGAAGCAGAATATAAATGATATAACATAAATATAAATATTGCTATTTCTGTTTTGTGGATTTTGGATGTTATTGTATTTTGCTATATGTAGTTAGTGTTACTTAACTATCCCCCAATATATTTTTCTACTTCATTAGTATCTACTTCAGCTATTGCCTGCCTAATGAAAATTTATATTTTCTGAACTCAGAGAATCAAACTCTATGCCTTGATTTTAAAGCATCATGTGTGGATTCAACTTAATTTCTTCCCACTTCTGCAAGAAGTTTATTTGGTGCAGTGTAGCAACTCTATTCCAAATGCCATGAACCTGCAACTTTCTGGATCACAGATCATTTTATTATCTACTATCTTGCACTAGCTTTCACTATCCCAGTCATTCTTACAGACTAGAGCAGGGGTAGGCAACCTTTCCCCTTTAAGGGCCGAGGGACTTTAGCTCCCAGAATCCCAGGAGCTATTGGCCAACATGGGACTATTGGCCAACATGGCTGAGGCTTCTGGGAGCTGAAGTCCCTCGGCCCTTAAAGGGGAACGGTTGCCTACCCCTGGACTAGAGAAACACCTACCATCAGACATATCCTTAAGCACCAGATTCTCCAGTTCACTCCACTCAGTGTTAAGTCTCTTCATTAACTTGAATGCATTCACAGGATGCCCCAAGAATCCCTCTGGGTCCTTTGTTGCAGTGTCTGTCAGCTTATCCAGCTTCTCTGCCCACCTTGAGAAAGAAAAAGCAAGCTAAATTATTATCAGTGGACTTATTCACACAGTGATAAGGTTAGCTTGGATTATTTCAAGCTCTTAAATGATAGGATTGTTTTAAAATTTAGCACATTAAAAACAATTAGTCTTTCTTTGAAAAACTGGAAACTTTATGGATTTTTTGAGCAACAAGAAATCTAACAATGTAATAATCTGTGGCTATAGTTATTTGTAATTTTAGTAGGATTATTTAGTTGGATAAAATAATATTGTTTTCTTTTCATTAGAGTCAGGATTCAGTGGGTCAGAGCTTTGCTGTGTATTGGTTATACATCCTTTTTCCCCTTTCCTTTCCTTTTTCTTCCTTCCGTTTCTTCATCTTTGTATATTACTTTGATTGTAAATTAGATTGTTCATGCTAAAAATTAATCTCAAAAAGACTCAACAAACTTGAAACTATACTACTATGCTTGCTGCCTCAACTGGATTGTTGATTGAATAACACATAAAAAGACAAGATTATTATGATTAGAGGGAACAAATAATAGATATGGATATCATGCCTACCTGTTCTGTGATAAAGTAAAAGTTCATAAAGAATTTAAAAATCATTATATTAAAAATTCTTTGCTTAATGTCTGGACTAAAATAAAACCAAAAATATGTAATTTCATTCTATTCCAAAGTGGGACTCAACTAATGAAGCTTTCTTTGGTAGAGAAAAAATGTTGGGTGATAGATGGCCTGTGTATAAAGATCTCCTAAAATTCGAACAACACCAATTGAAAATAAAATCAGAAAAGGAATCGAACAAAGCAGGTTGTAAATGTAGATGGTTTCTTTACTGTCAACTGAAAGAAAGATTTATGTTTGTTTTTAAAAAATTGGGTATTGGAGATGCAGAGCCAGAATTTGAAAAGATA